AGGTGAGGAAAAGAAAAAGAAAACGAAAGCTTGCTACGGGGAAAAGAAGCAAATCTGAGGAACAAGAGGAAGGTGGTAGTTACTTAGGAATTCGTTTTCTCTCATTTTCTTGGAGGAGAGAGAATGCTGGGAAATTCACGGCGTCGCCGGTGAAAAACTGATGGATCTGTTCCGTCACCGATCTGCACTGTTCAACCTCATTCCTCAAAGACAGCATTAAATGTCAATAGATCCAAGCAGCTCACACGACATTCTCCCCACTGTAATTCTCATTTAAGCTCCGGGTTTTCTTCAATTTCGAGATCTTAATCTGCTTTGAAGGTGCTTTGGCTTGGAGTTATGTTAAGTCGAGCTCTGGTGTGTGGTACTGAAGTGATGGATTTTGCGCTCTAATTCGAGATTCATTGTCGGCGTAGCCGCTAATGGAGGTAGAATTTCAGCTGACATAGTGTTTCTATAATTGTGTCGCCACTGTTCAATTGAAGTCTAGGGTTTCGAGCTGGTGTTAACTGATAAGGATCGAAGTTTGATTCTTGCTTCGCCACTGCTGCCGAAGTTCTACATTTAGAGTATCTAGATGTCTCAGTTATTGTGTAAGCACATGTGTTGAAGTGTCGTGCGTATAATTTGTCTTGATTTCAACTCAGTTGAAGTGTAAAGGCAGCAAGAAAGGAATCAAGGTTGGTCTTGTTGTGAGAAAGGAATCAAGTCTTAAGGTTGGTTTTGTTGCGAGAAAGGCAGCAATACAAGGTTAGTTTGTTTCCACACATGTGAAGAGGAGGTTATGTGATCAATTTGGAGTCATAGATTAGCAGGTGAAGATGCCTCCTTCTCCAGCATTGAGATACTCCCCAGGGAGAGAGCTGAGAGGAGAAAACCACAAGCGAGGACGGAGTTTTGAAAGTGGAATTCTCTTCAGAGAAAAAGATGACGATCTTGCTTTGTTCAATGAAATGCAGAGCAAAGAAAGGGAAAATTTCTTGCTTCAGTCAAAAGATGACTTTGAAGACACATTTTGTAATTTTCTGCCTTCACTACTAGTAATTTGGGTTTATTGGTTGCAAATTATGGAAGAGAAATTTATTGTCTGCATCCTGTGACTAACGTTATTGTGCCACTCATTTTGATTTTATACTGTTTTTTTACAGCTACAAAGTTGAGACACTTTTCAGATGTCAAGCTTGGAATCTCTATTCCTGCTCGAGGAGAGGGTAGTGAACTGCTAAATGCAGATGGGGAGAAAAACGACTATGACTGGTGGGTCATTTTTCTTCTTTATATCTTCTCCTGCTTTTTGCTTCCAATTCACAGAAACTTGCCATGCCAAACTGTTCTTATCTCAACAGTAATTAATGATGTTGTGTGCTGCTAAAATTGAGTTGCTAGTTTTTCTTTTATTGGAATGATGCATTAATCTCAAAAAAGAAAAAGAAAAAGAAACATAACTTAGATATTTAGTCATGTATGGAACCGATTGGTTATCAGTTAGTCTGATACTTTATCGAGACAAAGTAAACAATCATTGTTTTATTATGATTTTGCATATTAACGGTGGTATCCTGTTTTTAGCAGTTATCTCTATTTTCCAAGTTTTCAGTACTGATAGTGTCTGGTATTCTTGATTTTGAAGGTTACTAACTCCCCCTGACACTCCACTTTTTCCCTCATTGGATGATGAGCCACAACTGGCTAACATTGCACCCAGGGGTAGACCTCAAAGTCAACCTATTTCCATATCAAGATCATCAACAGTATGTTATGATTTCAGCTTTATCAAATAAAATTATTTCTGCTGATATTCTTCTGAAGGATTCTATGACAAATTATATCTAAGTATGTTAATCCTATACACTTTTTTTTTGAAAATGTTGATCAATATGTAGATGGACAAGAGTTATAGAAGCACTAGGGGCAGTGCTAGTCCAAATCGTCTAAGCCCATCTCCTCGATCGGGGAATAGTGCATTCCAGGCAAGGGGTAGGCCATCATCGGCACCTCGTACTAGCCCATCCCCTAGTCTACGATCCACTACTCCAACAAGGAGACCATCTACTCCACCTAATAAATCTTCCACTCCTGCAACAAGGTCTTCCACACCAAATTCTCGGAGGTTGAGTGCAGGTGTGACTACATCGGGGTTAAGAGGAACATCTCCTGTAAGGACAACTCGAGGGAACTCTGCATCACCAAAAATAAGAGCATGGCAGTCAAACATCCCTGGCTTCTCCTTAGATGCACCACCAAATCTTCGTACTTCTCTGATTGATAGGCCAGCTTCATATGTGAGGGGTTCCTCACCAGCATCTAGAAATGGCCGAGGCAGGCAATCAATGTCTCCAACTGCCTCTAGAAGTGTAAGTTCATTGCAAAGTCATGAACGGGACAGGTTTAGTTCACACAGTAAAGGTTCCGTGGCATCATCTGGCGATGATGACATAGATTCTGTACAATCTGTTTCTCTTGGTGGTTCAAACTTCTCAACACCAAGGAGGGTTAGTGCATTCCCAAATAACAGGGCTCCAACCTTTAATAAAAAACCTGCCAGAATGTTATCCCCAAGCTCTGCACCAAAACGATCATTTGATTCTGCCCTTCGTCAAATGGTATCTTATTATTACTTTCATTTTATCATTATGTTTTAATTTGAACAATTAAAAGAATACTGGCAAGTTTCCATATTTTGTATTAAATACCGTTTTGGTGGTAATTATTTCTGTCACTCTAGGTGTCCATTCTTCACAAATTGTTGAAGAAATATACAATAACCATAAAATAAAAATTGTTTAATCTGGATCACTGCATGTACTTATAGTTTGGCAACTGCTTTTGGTATGGTTATGGTTCTACATTGCAGTAGTAGCAGAATGCAGTCAAATCTCTTTTGGGTATGGTTGTGTTGTGGGTTACAGTATTAGCAGAATGCGAGTGCAGTTTTGGCCGTTAATAATTAATGTTCTGTCTATCCAAAAAGGGAAAGAATTCAAACCTTTGCATGTTGTTATATGATTCATTTGAGAACTTACCATGTAATTTGCCTGTTCTAGTTAAGGAAAAAGAAATCCCAGAGTGCTATTGAGGAATTTACTTGTTTGCAAATTGATCTACATTTATGTCAACTCATTTAGGAGTTTTAATGCTTAAATATTTATAAAAGTTTTGTAAATTATTAGAATCAACATTTGGTGCAGGATCATTGGAAGAGTCCTCCAAATATGTTCAGGCCTCTATTATCTAGTGTTCCCAGTACCTCTTTCTATGTTGGAAAAGGAAGTGCTGCACATCGTGCTATGATATCAAGGAACTCATCTGTTACCAGCAGCAGTAATGCAAGTTCTGACCGAGGTACAAGTTTTCTACTTGATGCTGAAGGGAGTGACCAGCACCAAGACGATATGGCAGGTGAATGTGGAAAGGGACCTTCTGCAGATGTTCAAGAAGTTTTTGTCTTTGATAAGGCTGATGCTTCAAATCAAGATTCTGGACATGAAAGGCAGGATAGCCCACGGTATGTTTATGTTGATGACTTTGGTGGAGACCCTGCCATTGACTGTGACCCTGCTTACTCTCAAGAGTTCAGCCACCATGGAGTTGAAGATGAAATGGGTTCAAGTTCTGATGCTTTCGGTGACAGGGGTGATTTCTCAGAAGTTGATAGTCTTGAAAATATGAAAGTTTGTTCCAGATGTGGTTGCAGGTACCGTTTCAGTGAACCACTGGAAGAGAACATTGCCCTTTGCCCAGATTGTAGTAGGCAAAATGATATTCTACCTGTCAACCCCCCTGAGATGGCAATATCAGCTGAAGAGAACTCTCCAGTGCTGTCCATTAGGCTTTCTGAAGAAAGCAAATCTTTTTGTGAACTAGAACCGTCAAGTGCTGTAGCTGATTTGCCCTTGCAAGTTACCAACACAGGTCAGCGTTGGATTTCACAACATGAGGAGGATGCTAAGCAAAGCAAAAATTACTCTCAAGAAAATTCTCTAGCAAGGTCTCTAGAGGAGGGAGATGAACAGAGGCTTGATTATCAGCAAGAAATGGACCAACATATTGTGGACCATTCCTCACCCGATAGGGGTATTGGAGCTCAGAAGTTGCAGCTTTGTAATAACTCTCCAGAGTCGAAGGGAGACGATTCCTTACTTGACAGCAACATGCGAAATCAGCAGTTGCAGCTTTGTAATAACCCTCTAGAGTCCAAGGGAGACAATTCCTTACTTGATGGGGATACTGGAGGTTGGCAGTTGCAGTTTTGTAACAACCTTCCAGAGTCCAAGGTTTACGCTTCAGAAGTTGCTGGCATATCAGTGCTGTTGAAGAAATCAAGTAGCAGTAAGGGACCTATTATTCAAGGTAGGACCTTCACTGCTTCTTCCTTACCTTATGAAGATCTGTCTTACACAAGAGATAGTTCAAGCAGTTGGAGAAGCTCAATTGGATTTGGAAGTGCTTCTGCATCATCCTCTATAGACTACAGCTCATCTAGGCAAACAGAGATTCGTGTGCAATGGCAGCAAAGTGGGAGGAAATCTGACATGGAGAATTATAGATATGACATCAATGCAAAACCTCAAAGCTTTGGATCATCTTTATCTCGAAGTTCAAGCAATGCTCACCAAGCTTCAGGTTCAGCACCAAGTACACGTGAAGAGATTTTCGAATTAAACATCAGCAATTTAAAAACTGATGATGTAGAGGAAACTCCTGCAGCATCTGAAGCAAATGTGGTAGCTTCAGAAAATATGGAAGCAGATGTCATTGATTCCTCTTCCACTGGCACAGAGGTTCCAGGTGAGATCGTTTTTAAACACAATGAAAGTAGTAGAACAGCAGTTCCTGCAACCTCAGAACTGTCAAGCAATGTAGTAAATGTTCACCCAGAGGAGAAGTTTGCTGTATCACTTCCTAACTATGAAGTTCATGCTCCATATGAAGATGAACATGATTTTCCAAACATTGCTGAGAGTGACTCAGGTCTTGAAACCTCAGCTGTCATTCCAGATTCTTCTATTGAAGAACTAGATAAGCTGAGTGCTAGTCTTGATGGCATGGATGTTGCAGAGGTTCCCACTCATAGCTCTTTGGCTACAATATCAGAAATAGAGATTGAGAATTGTTGTCAGAGTTCCCCTAGTTCAGAAATTGTAAGTGTTTCTCCAAATTCAGAGCAAAACAAAAATGAACATGTGGAGTGGTCGGTTCCTACCACTTCAGATGTGGATGTTACAGCTTCTGTTGAGGAGCCCAACAACCCAGATCATGCAGATGGCATTTTAGGTATGTTTTTGGCATTTGATTATGATCTTTCATAATCTATCTTATTCTCCACAATTAAAAGTTAAATTAATTACCATCATTCCTGATTTTTTTATTTTTTATTTTATTTTTATTATTATTATTTTTTTATGTTAGCCGCCATTTTCTTTTTTTTTTCAACAGATTATGATTCAAAAATTTTGACTTCTTTCACAAACCAGCTTCTTCTTCTTCTTCTTCTTCTTCTTCTTTTTTATGAACCTGGGAAACTAAGGGGAAAGGGTAAATTACAACCTTGATGACTTGAGTTGAACTGAGGACTTACAGGTCAGCAAACTCATAGGCTTTGGACAAGAAGTATTAGGCCACAGGGGGTGATTCCTTTTGCAAATCAACTATGTAACTCGTTTTAGAGTCAACAAAGCTTATTCCTTAATCACTTTATTATTATTTCCCAGTAGTTATAATACTAAAACTAATTCTGACCTAGCTGTTAAGAAGCTAGCATTCTTTCTCAATTTAACATGTTTGGCTTATCACAAGACAGACTCTTTGCAATTGTTTCTCGGAACTGTGCATTCTTTTCATTGATCACTCATTTTAAACATAGCTTGTCTTGAGAACAAGAGTTCTCTTTTTTCAGATTTATTCTTGATCCTAGTTATGGAGATTTAAAAGATAAATTTCATAGTTTATCAACTACAATTATCACCAGTCAATGTATTACCCAGTTATAATTGATGGGATTTATTGTCACTTTGGGAGGTGCATCAATTGCAGTTTATCAAAACCATTCAAGTTTTCTTTGATCATTAAAGGGGAACTTTTAATTATATTTTTCTCCAATTGTTCATTGCACATGACTTTCTCCACAACCCATGGTCTTCTTTATTGAAGAGAATGGTTGTCCTTCACATTGACTTCTTTGCAAAAAAAGGCATCTTGTATGTGTTAGAAATTTGATCAATTTTGTGTCATCTTTGCGATGTTTATCTTTCATCATGTCATTCATTCTGTTTGGCACCATCTTAACCATAGACACATTGCCAAACCAATGAAGATTTTCCTTTTTTCTGCGATAATAATTTCTTCAAGTGCTGTTGTATTGACTGTTGGAATGGACAGATATATATTTCTATAGGAGCATTTCCGCTTTTTGATTCATATGCATGACTGCAGATATAATTTCTATTTCCTGACATAGGGATCCATTTAGTGATGAGAGGGAAAAAAGACCTGCATGATAAATTCAAATATTTTGTTGATGAAATTACTAATCATGCTCCTGCCAAGGATGTTGTTCTGATATGTATCATTTAGTTATTGCTTAGTTCTCTGATGAGATTTTGTTTTATGTTTTCAGAAGATGGATCAACTGTCGTGGTCGAATGTCAGGGAGGAAGCAAGATGAGAAGCCTGACTCTAGAAGAAGCAACAGATACAATTCTATTTTGCAGTTCCATTGTTCATGATCTTGCCTACCAGGCTGCAACAATAGCGATTGAGAAGGAAAGTTCAATGCCATTGGAAGATTCTAGACCAACAGTTATGATATTGGGAAAATCCAATATGAAGGACCCTCGTGGGAGAACCGGAGGAAGGCGCACTTCAAAATCCTTAAAGGCCAAACAGAGGAAGCTAGAAACAGACAAAAAATCCACATCTACCAAGAGTGAGAACAATGAAAACAGTGATGAGGAAGGCGCACTTCGAAATTCTTCAATGCGTATTGTTGGGCTTCCCAATAAGGAAGAAGACAGCACAAAGCCTCCAAAGCTGGAATCCAAGTGCAATTGCTCAATAATGTGACCCTTCTTCTATTCATCATCATCGGTGCCATGGTTTGATCCACCAGCCACCATTTGACTAGGCTACTCCCTCCTATCTCTCCAAAGAAAGGGCGGTGAGTGCTTTCTCTGCTTTGTATCTTAGTAGTTTTTGTGTTTGAAGGGCTGTTTGGATTTGTTGCCAATTGATTTCCTTCACTTCCAGATTATTTGTAAGAAACATGCCAACTGGTGTCAGTTGGGTGACATAATTGTAAAGTTCTAATTATGCTGAGTAGGTTGATAGTAAAAAGGCAGTGGAGGTTTGTGCTTGCTCCATTTCTGTGAGTCTTGTTAGATGTTAGTTATTTGCCGTTCGTTGCTGGGGCCTCTGTTGGAGATAAGTGTGATTAAAAACCCAATTCATTCTTACTCAATTATGGTAATAATTGGAAATATAGCTTGATTTGTTTCATCCCCCATTCTAGGCAGTATTCTCTTAATATAATTTCTCTCAGTATGAATATTCCTATTTTATCGTTTTCTTGACATTGTTTGTGTATCATTTTCGTCTTTTTTTTTTTTTTTTAGGTTGGAACGAAAAACGGAAGACTAATTCCGCAGGGAAGTATTTTATTTTCTTAATTTTAGTTTAGACAATGAAAGTTATGAAACACAATGCTCTTCACTTAAAAATCTTACATGTCATATACCTCCCCACTTAAACTCAAGGTTTTTACCTGGTTATTAGTATTAAAGTACTTAGATTGTTGGCTGTGAGAGTTTTAAGAAGAAAAGTGAAAATTGTGTAATCTAAAATGTTATAAGTATATGAAATTATTTATATATTTTTATAAATTTTTTAATATGTTAATTTATAAAAAAATATATATTTATAGTTTTTTCATAACTTTTACATTATCATTTAAATATTTTAATTATCAAAACTTCTTTCATTTTATAACCACAATTTTAAAACATGGTTTTGTTTTCTTTAAATCATATTGTCCTATTGCCTGTAGGCGACAAAATTAAGGCCACCCATTGAAAATTGGAAAGTGACATTAATTGAAAAAACATGTTTTTCCCGTACTTTTTTTTTTTTTAATCAAAAAGGCACTATTTTCGCCAATCGATTAAATAATTTACTGACTAAATTCTTATTCAAAATTGTTTATTTTACAACATATTTTTATAAAAAAATTTATTTTGTAATTTTGATTGGAAGATTCTTCTTAATCAATCCTCATTTTCAATTTTTACTTACTTGAAATCAAAATTAACTTTCACAAATAAATTTGATTAGACGCTTATTTTATTTCCTATTAAGACATTAAAAGCTCCTTTCCAATCTGCTCTATCAATCTACTAACATTAATTACATTAAGTTAATGCAGCAAACACACTAGCAATAATGATAACCAGTACAATAAATTCATTTTAGATAGTATGTAATAATGTCATCACTTCTTTCACTCTAACTTGAATTTCTTAGACTAAAGAGATACGAATATAAGTTGGGGGAAAGGAGGCCTTTTGCATCTTGCGATATGAAGTGCCTACTTTTACTTAATAATTTAAGTTATATAATCCAAATTATACATCACTTTTTATTTTTTATGAACTTTAATTTCCCAAGGAAAGGAAGACAAAATGCTGGTGTTATTTAAATTAGGGAAATCTTATGTTAAGTTCTCAAATTTATCTCAAAATTTTCATTAAGCCCCTAGATGTTTTATCAAAGAAAATAAGTACTTGAACTTAGCAATTTAGGAAATTTACTCATTTTACTTACGATAGATTTTTTTTTTTTTTGGTTTCCCGCCCGGTATCCGGGGTTTCGCTCCGACTACTCCGGACTCGACTAGCTGTGGCGCACCAGAATGGTGGGTGGGTCTCCCAACAAAGGCTGCTGCGTACACAAGGTTTCAAACTCGAGACCTTACTTAAGCTGGAACAAGCCGCTTGCCACTTGATCCAACCCTAACACTTCTTTGTACTTCACTTGCGTGGATCAATGTTGTCAAGAGCACCCACTCCAACTGTTTAAGCGGTAAAGCGGAATGCTCTTGACCCCTAACACTTTAGTAATATGTGGAGTGTCAGACTTTAGTGAAACACATGCTTCATTGCTTAAACGCTAGGAGCATGAAGTAGTTAAAGCACTTAATTTTGTTTTTTTCTTCAATTTGATAAAATTGTCTAACTTAAATTTTAATTTTAATAGTAAAATGATATTTTAACATATTTTATCCTCTAAATAAAACCCTAAAAGGTCAAAATTGGATCTGATTGTTCAATTGCCGTTGCTTCTTCTTCTTCTTGTTCTTCCTCTTTTTTCTTTCTTCAAGATCAACCCTATGATTTCTTCAAGAGTATTAAAAGATCAAATTTTAGTTTTATTCTCTCATTCTTTTTGACATTCTTCTTCTTCTCTTCCTTTTTTGCCTTGTTTTTTTCCTTGATTATTACTTGACTTGGGGAGAGGTAGCTAGAGCTTATGGTGTTGAGGAGCCTAGAAAACATACTAAGAAAAATTATGGTAGACAATCTACACTAAAATCTTCAAGTTCTAAAGGAAAAACAATTGTATAAGAAGTTGAAAAGGAAGAGGCTGATGCAAAGGAATCTAAGGAAGAAATTGAGGATTATCACTTAAGTGATGGGGATGACAACACTGATGATAATAAGATGGACGCAACTTACAAGAATAACATAAATGCAAATGATTTATTTTAGATTTTAGAACGATATTATGTTTTACTTGCTGTTTTTGCATTATTTTAATTTGTTAACTGTTATGTATGAATGCACGGCTCGTTTTCTATTTTGATAGATGTTATTATGAACTTCAAAATCTGTTTTATTAATATATCATATTTTGAGTACATTTTGAAATGATTTAAGTTACTACATAATTATCCTTTTGTATTAACTGTTTCACTTTGATGAAGCACCTGCTTCGCTTTCTACTTCATCACTTAGCCTTTTGGAAGGTTGGTGTTTTAGGCTACTTTACATTTTTGACAACATTGGCGTAAATAACGTTAATACTTACCATTTGTATAATGACACGTCAATTATTATCCATGCAAATGAGATACAAATGGGCATTAAGTTCACCATAAAGAAAGAGGGTTAAATTGCCTAAATTATTAAGTTTTGGGGCTTATTTGCTTTTATAAAAGTTTAGGCGCTTAATTGAGAATCTGGGGTAAACTTGAGGGTTAATTTAGGGTTTTCCCTCTTTTAATTATTTAAAAATAAACAAAAAAATTTTGGCGGGAAAACTGGCAGGAAGTGAAATGGCTGAGGCGCGGTCCGAGCGAGGAGCCCCATTTGTAGTTTCCCAGCTAATGCCTCAATCCACAGCCATGGACACCGATTCAGATTCCGATGGCTCTCACGTCTCCGCCACTCCTCCACGAGATCCTATCCTGCAGCCGCCAAAGCCACCAGTTCGGCCACCGCCGCCGCCGCCAACTCTATCCGCATCTAACAGATTCACAAAGAGGATTAGGCCTTCTTCTCACTCAAAAGCTGCTTCAAAATCCAAAGCACCATCTCCAAAACCAACCAAATCCAAACCTGATCTCTCTCAAAGACCAGATCGTCCATCGCTCTCCTCTCCTCTCTCCAATTTGCCCTTCCATATCTGCCGTGCATCAGATCAATCCCGTCCAATCCCAGCCGCCCATTCCCTGGAAACCCTCCGTGCCGGCTTCTTCTCCATACACCGCGCCTCCTTCTCCAAAATCCAAAAACCCTCCCTTAGTTTTAACCATGACGAGGACTTACCGGAGATTACCACAGAAGTAAAAATCAACGGCTCTGATTGCGCAGATTCTGCCAAAGCATCCAAGAAGTCGCTTCCTAATTTGGTCGGAGCTACGGTGCCTTTGCCTGCCGTCAGATTACAAAAACGCGGCGGAGAAGGTAACTTTGTGAGGCACAATTTAAATGGCAACAACCGGAAATTTATTAGAAAAGGCAAGAGGAATGCCAGCCACTCGTCGAAATCAAGATTTTACAGAAGAAGTAAGAAAAGAGCTAAATCCGAAACTGAATCAGAGATTGTTTGCGAGGAAGATGGCCTAGTTGTAGAACTAAAGCAGCAAAACAAGAAGGAGAAAAGGATTCAGCATGAGTCGATTGAGGAGGTGGTTTCGGCCGTCCAAAAGGCAGCGTCCGATCAAAACTTGGTGAGGTTGTTGAAGGTGATGTACGGCTATGATTCCTTCCGTGTTGGGCAGATGGAGGCGATTAAGATGGTCCTCGACGGGAAATCGACGATGCTGGTTCTTCCCACCGGCGCAGGGAAGTCGTTATGTTATCAGATTCCGGCCGTGGTTTTGCCAGGGATTACCCTTGTAATTAGTCCGTTGGTGGCTTTGATGATTGATCAGTTAAAGCAGTTGCATCCTTTTATTCCTGGTGGTCTCTTATGTAGCAGTCAGGTAATTCGTGTCTTTTTTTCCCTTTTCAATTTGCAATTTCTTTTTGACAAAATGTGTTATGAGGTATGTTTCATTCAAATAGAAACCCGAAGAGGCTGCTGAAACTCTAAAACTGCTTCAAGAGGGGGCCATTAAAGTAAGTTTATCAACGAAGTCAATGAAATTTTAGCTTTTTCAACGTAATGGGGGGTTTCTTTTATTATTATATTTGATTTAGCCTCAATGTAGACAACTAGGATAAGGCATTGTGATTTGTATTTCAGGTGCTTTTTGTTTCACCTGAGAGGCTTCTGAATGCGGACTTTTTGGCAATGTTTTCTACTACTGCTAACTTTGTATCACTTGTTGTTGTAGATGAAGCTCACTGTGTATCTGAATGGTGGGTTTTTGCACTGCTTCTGTTGGTTATAGAGTTCTAGCTTGAGGGGGAACTTTGTTTAGGATTATATAAGTCTTGTAATGTCATGCAAATTTTGAAAATTTAACAGGTCACATAATTTCCGGCCTTCATACATGAGGCTCAGAGCATCTTTACTCCGTGAAAAACTCAATGTTCAATGCATACTGGCAATGACTGCGACTGCCACAACCACAACTTTGCATTCCATTATGTCAGCGTTGGAGATTCCTTCAATGAATCTCATTCAAAAGGCTCAGTTAAGGGACAATTTACAGTTGTCAGTGTCTTTGAGTGGAAATAGGCAAGTCTGATACATTTTTCCTTTTTCATCTTAGATTGTGCTATGTAAGGTTTGGATTATGAAATGAATCTGTTAAGTGAGCTTACTGATACCAAGGACATTGGCAGAATGAAAGATCTGTTGGCATTGATAAAATCTTCACCTTTTGTGGAAGCTGAAAGCATCATTATTTACTGCAAGTTTCAGGTAAGCATTCTTATTTAAAATTCTTTTTAAGTCTGTTTCTCAGCTTCACAATCATGTAACTGTTTAATTGGCTATTCCTGCGTTGGGTATTTATGACGTAGTTCTAGAACGAGCTTCTTTAACCTAATTGTGAAATCCGTGTGCTCTGTCAAAAGTTTTTGCCTCTAGTTTCATGTTAGCATTCATGTGCCTAAATTACTTTCCATGAAAAAAGAACATTGTTTAAATCTTTTCCACCAATGACATTTTAGCTGTTGTCTTTACAAATTTCAAAGATTATCAAATTTCAAAGATTATCCAGGATTAATACCTCATGTGGACTTTGCAGCTGGAAACTGATCAGATCAGCAGATACTTATGTGATAACAATATTTCTGCCAAGGTAATCTATGTGAACTTCTAAATTGCATGGTATATAAATCCTTGCAGGCTCTCTTTTATTTGAAATGGGCTATTCCAACAATCTTATTTTAAATTCCCATATAGAGTTACCATAGTGGTATCCCTGCAAAGGAACGCAGCCGCATACAGGAGCTGTTTTGTTCTAATAAGATTAGAGTGGTAAGGAACTATCTTGGTAAATGTTCTTTTTTTTTTTTGGGGTCCTTTCTTTAATATTAATCTTAAACCACTTTCAATCATTGACTAGTGTCTTTTCATGGAAGGTTGTTGCAACTGTGGCATTTGGCATGGGGCTTGACAAGAGAGATATTGGAGCTGTAAGAATTAAAATTTTATCCTTGAGCTCTGTGGTCATTTTACACTAACTTCACATGCTTTATACCCAATTTTGGTGCATTCATGATGTGGACTCCTAGGATTGATACTGATTATGGAGCAATTCTCAATTCTCATTGTGTACAAATGGTAGGCCATCATTGGCCCCCTTTGCTCCATTTTAAATTGAATTTCCTAGAGCCTATTTCTACATAATTTCTAGTCAATTGGGTCAAAAATATCTGTAGATGTTGTAGTCTCTCTATCCATGCACATTCTTTTCTGATTTGCATGCTTCCAGTATATATTATTCCATGATATGATGTTAATACAAGAGTTTTTTTTATTAATTCCTCTTTAGGTAATTCATTACAGCATGCCAGAAAGCTTGGAAGAGTATGTCCAGGTTCATGTTTTCTTAATTTCTTTTAAACCAGAAGTCGTTTGTCAAGATGTCCAATGCCTGCTAAATGATAGAATGATGACCTCATGCAGGAGATTGGACGGGCTGGACGAGATGGGAGATTATCCTATTGCCATTTACTTTTTGATGATATCACATATTACAAGCTCCGTAGTCTTACATACAGGTGCTTAATGTGAAATATACCTTTCATTGAATTTTACCTCATTGAAAGGGTTTAAAAGCTAAGGGTTGACTTATGATGTTGTGGTCCAGTGACGGAGTGGATGAATATGCAGTAAACAAATTTCTCAGTCAAATTTTTGCGGATGGAATAAATTCACGAGGGAGTGTTTGTTCTCTAGTCAGAGAGTCTGCATCTCGCAAATTTGATATAAAAGAGGAGGTTTGGCTTTTGTATTATATTGCTTGAATTTTTTGTACTTACATTCAGCATGTACCAAAATGAAGAAAAAACATCTATCAATGACTCTCTTCTTAGTATAATTTTTAGTAAGATTGAGGTTACCTTATCCAACCATCATTTTCCTCTCAAAGTTATGTTGATGATTCTTTGACGTGAAAATTTTTTACTTAAGTTTGTCTCTTTTGTAACTGACAGGTGATGCTCACACTTCTAACACAACTGGAATTGGGTGAAGTACAATATTTACGACTACTTCCACAGTTAAATGTAACCTGCGCTTTGAATTTTCATAAGGTAATCAAATTTCGATTTATGCCATTTGTCTCTGACCTTTGTTAGCTCACATATGTATTTAATGGCATTTGGAGTGGAATAGCATGGTTATTTAGGACTAAAAAAGGTAGAGGTCATCAATGAAATAATCTGCATTCAATGTTATCTAAGAATATAAGCTTACTTGACCACATTCATCTAGCAATTCTTGGAGATTGAACTAATATTTATATGCAGACTTCCCCAGGGTTACTTGCCGACAAGGATGCAGTGGTAGGAGCAATTCTGAAGAGGTGAGTATTATCTACATTTCTGATAATGCAGTTATGTTCTACTTCTGGTCATTGACATCTTGGCATAAACAATTATGCACAACTAAATTTTCAGATCTGACTGTAAGCAAGGCCAGTATGTTTTTGACATTCCCACCGTGGCAAATAGCATTGGAGTTGCAGTTGTTGACCTATCAAATCATTTGCAGAATCTTCAGGTTAGAACTATTCTCACTAATGGTTGTGTATGAGGAAGCAAAAAATAAGGTTCTTATTCAAAATTTTTTATATGAAAGCCTTCTCAATTATAAATCAAAGTCATCTCATTCCTCATTGTGCTTCAATAACATGATTGTAGTAGTATGGGGGAACAAGTAACTTCATTAAATTGTCAGCTGCTCTTTCTAGATCCTCTTGTGGGTGGGTGGTTTGCTTCATAAAATATATTTATGCATTATATTTATGAAAAGGATAAAGACTACGAGTTGAAGTTGCTAGCATTGGCAATTTATGTTGAACAGAGCTAAGTAGCTCACCCCTGTCAATGTGTTACTTGCACCCCGTGGAACATAATAAGATGCAAAAAATATTGCTTGATTACTCATTAAATAACTACTAGGTGCCACAGTGAAACTTAAAATTCAGCTAGAATAACTACCAGCTATTGCAACAAAACTTCAACTGGAAAGTGTAGTTCTCCAGAAATTATGCATGAAAGTTTTAATTTTCTTTCCTGAAATTGCATGGCAGAAGTTCGATATTCTGCTGCTTTGATTTTAATCTTCTTTGGTGTGTTTGCTTTTCTTTTACAATAGTTGATGTGTTTGTTATATTTTTATATGACTGTACTTCGACAATGAAATTGTTAACTAGCTTTATTTACGAATCAGGTTTCAAGTTCATATTGATTCCTTTTCTCCCTTTGTTGATTGGATAACCTATAATTTATAATTTCTTTAACGTAATTTGAATTATAGTAATATACCATTTTTCATTTACTTCTTTTTGGGTCATCTTAGGTAAAGGGAGAAATAACATATGAGGTGAAGGATCCGGCCTACTGTTATACGATTGTGGAACTCCCTACAAACTTCTGTTCTCTTTCAGCAGATCTTACCAAATGGTTATCACAGATTGAAAATTGCAAGGTGATTGATGCCAGTATTTTATCACAGCCACTTAAAAACCTGTTTTACATATGGGTATATTTATTCACTGTAAATGTGCAATGCATCATTGCTTCTGGATACTGGAAGTTGTTTCTTGAGAGGTGTTCATCACAATATCATGCCATTGAATGTGGGGCAGAAAGAAGAATCAGTTCAAACGTGTGAGATATCTATTTTGATTGGTTTGCACCCTAGAAAAAGTACGCTATAGATGCTTGGTTTTCATAAAATGCTGAGAATCAATTTGATCTCTTTTCTTTTGATAAATTTATATTCTCTGGCTTGTCCATTGAAATGGCTTGCTAGAAAGCCCTTATCATGGATGCGACTTTCAGTTGAAATGTCTTGTCTCAGACAATTTGTCCTCCTGAATTAGGTCCGTAAACTGGATGCAATGTATAGTGCTGTAGTCTTTGCAGTGGATGCCTGTAAGAAGATGGATGGTTGCTTTGGTGCCCGGCACGCATCATGTCTTCAAAAGAAGATTTTGGATTATTTTCAGGGGGATGGTAATTCTAATGTTTGTGATAAAATGGGTCAGAGCAGGTACGTAAAAGTTGTTTTAATTGGGATTCAAGAAAATAGAGATGAACAATTCCTACTCATGATACTGGATGGTCCTTGAGTATCCATAATTTTGATATGTTTCCTTTTCATTTTTTAATCTTGTAAATAATATTTTAGCATACTGATAGAACTGTAATATATACTTGCAGCCCATTCTTAAGAGCAGATATAAAGGTGAGGTTAAAATTTATATGGATTCTGTTCTCGGTGCAACTAATATGTGGGTTCTAAACTATTGGTTCTTTCCTTGTGAGACAGGTTTTTCTACAGAGTAACTCCCAGGTTAAATTTACTCCAAGAGCTGTTGCAAGGATAATGCATGGAATTGGAAGCCCAGCCTATCCTTCCACAATTTGGTCCAGAACTCATTTCTGGTATCTCAAACACTGTTCTCTGTTTCGTTTAAATTCTTAGCTTAATTCCTTTTATTTCAACAGGAGGCTTTAACTCTGTCTAACTTGAAAAGGGTTGAACTGGTTTACATGCGGGTTGCACTAGAAAGAAGCACAACTTACGTTTAGTGGATAACAATTATTTCATGTTATTCACAAAACAGAATCTGAGCTGGTTATGTTAATGATGTCTTTGCAGGGGAAAGTACACACAAATGGATTTCAAGGTGGTAATGGAAGCGGCAAAGGCAGAACTCATGAATTTAGCCGGGAAAGATGTACCATAGCTGCTCAAAATTTGGCATTCTATTAACTTAGAATGCAATTTGAAGGTATCGTTAGGAATTTTTTTTAATTCATACAATACATGCTTTTTAAAGTAAAAGGCAAGTCTTCTAATACTTATTTTCCCTATGGCGCTTTTGGTGGTGGTTCAGTGGTACAGGAACATACCTGGATAACTTATATGGCAGGTAAGCTGCTTCGACCTCCTTCCAAATCGCCAATTCAGTATGTCACACGTGCATGAGCAAATTTGATTGCTTGCAACAAATGCTAGCTTAGAATGAATTAACACAAAATTTTGAAGGATGTTATTAGTTCACATGCACTGTACAAGAAAATTCGAATTTTCCTTGAATGACAATTTGACAAACCTGTTGTCATTTTGGCAGCATAGAATTTAGCATTGGCAACACTTCATCCGCGTATGACAATGGAATCACGGCATTTGAATTTCTCTCTTCTCTGCTGCACATGATTAGTTGAAGTTTTAACTTGGGCAACCAGCAGAAGAGATTGGAACGACATCAATGAAGTATGTAAATAATGTTTAGAGGAATGCAAAGAAAAGAATCTGGATTATCCAGAATTTCGTGCATTTATAAATTTTAGTATTAAAACAAGAAAAAAGTTTTCATAGGGTGTGGATCAAGTAAACTATTGCCCAAAGTCAAACCAAGTTATTATTTGTGAATTCTGTAGTATTATGGACGCAACTCGCATGAGTTTAATTGTGGCTTTCAGGTTGACATAGTACCTAAGGAAACTAAGAACTAGCCAAATGGGCAACTCTTTATTCTAAGTTTAATTCTCACTTATCCTACTATTAACTTCGTCATGCCTTTATCTTTCCACATCCAATCCCAGTAAAGTTAGATGCATTGCCATCTGTATTAGGTTTATCCATTGTTAAAATTCCATCAAAATGAAGTTTCGTTGGCGTGTCAATCCATCATGGCCTACCACCATCTTCCCTTCTCTTTATCTAGGCAAGATTTTGGGTTTAATTCTTAATCGTCAATAAAATAATTAACTCTTTTTTGGGAAGGGGAGAAGGGGCAATTTCTCTCCTCTCCTTTTTCCTTGGTTAATTATATTAAAATAGACATTAAAGAGAAGCTCATCCTTTTCCTCTCCAATTTTTTTATGCAAATTGAAATTTATCCTCATTCGCTTCCCTTAATCCAAACAAGCTTAAGGGATTTTATCAAACTACTAGTTTGGCACTTCCGTGCTTATTGACATTATTCCATCTTGCTAATTGTAATAAAGTTTAATCTTTTAAAATATGTAAAGAGGAGATAATTTGTGATAAATGCATTATATAATCTTCATTTTGGATGAAATGTCAAATTGTCATTGATTCATATATATGTAATTTGTTATAATTAGCATTTTATCATAAGTTGGGACCTTATTACAAGAACCTTGCTCCAAAGGGCACTTAGAGTGAATTTGGGATTGTAGTTGGGGGTTTTTCTTGTAATTGTATAATATTTTCAGATATATGTATATTTGATAATATTTTTAGTTTTTT